TAATTTATCCTAAGGCCTAGTCTAACCCAAAGGGCTTGAGCTGATGAAAACTGGTGACTGTCACATTAATGAGCTTGAGATGTACTATGCACAAAGCAGGTAGGTACTGTATGTAACAAAGCACTTTCTTTGGATTACATTTCCTTACTAAATAGGGTGGGATAGGTATTAACAAAGTAAAGAGTGACTCTATTGTTATTCCATAGCACTAATTGATTATGGTTTGATGCTGCCAAAGTGAGTCATTTCTACTTTATTTTGTAGGGGTAGAGCCATCTACTTAAGGAATAAAAAAAATAAGCAAAAATAGTGACAACTAATAGCAAATTATCAGCTTATTTTTGCAGGTACTACGGGCACGACAAAATAGTACTCCATGCAGAGGAAGCATAGAAATACTTAATGAATGTAGAATATATAAGAAAATAATCTTTTTATGTTGAAACTTGGGCTTTGCCTATCTTTTCAACCTTCTCCTTTACCGCTTTCCTATGAAAAGCCTCATTTTGGCTAAACTGGCCTACTTTTTGTTCCAGGAAATGACCACTGCCCTATTGCCTCTGTGCTTTGGGGTAGGACATGCCAGGAATGCCCCTTCTTCCTCTCCCCTTCTTTGTTTGGCTAAATCTTTAAAGTCCCATTCAAGTCTTAATCTTTTCTATAAATCTTGATATTCATCCCTTTTTTTGAGGGGGGGGATTGCCCTTCCTTTTAATTCTAATAGCATTTACTGAACACACAATTTATATAACTCTTAAAGTATTTCCTGTCTTGCTTTATCTACTGAAACAGAAAGCCCCTGCTATGCTCATCTTACAGGGCAGGGATGAGTCTTTTCTTTGTATCTTGAGCACCTAGCACAGTTGCTCAAAAAACGTTTATTGCTGATTATTTCAGAAAAGTTAGGTTGACTTTTAGAAAGATTCCAATCTTTGTACAAATTTCCTGACTACAAAGTCAGTTAATATGGGTTATTTTAACAGAGGAAAAGCAAACAGTTAACCATGTTTGTGAAATTGATACAGTAAACCAGAATAGGCCAAGAATATTTTCCCAGGAACAGAGATGGAAGGGACCTCAAAGCCCATCTAGTCTAACGTGAGCCCCCTGGGATAGGAATTCCCTTTACAGTATATGGAACAAGTAGCCATACACATACCCTCTAAGTGAAGACCTCCAATGAAAGGAAAACCATTAATGCTTCCTGTAGCCACTTTCACATAATCATCATATAAAATAAAATCATACTTCTTCAGTGACAGAAAAAAATTTCCAGGCACTAAGTAAATGGGTCAGAAGAGCAAACTTTGTTCTGCAGATTTATGTATATATTAATATCCTACTGGAACCTTATTCACAGCTATAGTTCTTGCTGCTGGTGAAGTTGAGGCTGGTAGATCACTTGAGTTCCGGAGTTCCGAGTTGCAAGAGGACCAAAGCCGCTTGGGTGTCCACACTGAGTCAGGCTCCAATATATTGAACCCCTCCATCGTCCCTGCCCTGGGAGCAGAAAGCTACCTTAAGAAGGGACAAACCAGCCCAGGTTGGAAAAATGGAGTAGATTAAATCTTCCACATCAGTCACTGTTGAGATTGGGTGATGGGTGAAGTAGCAGGACTGAATTGAAAAAAAAAATTTCAACACAATATAAATGCAAAGTCCTAAGCCTTACCTCCCTTGTATTTCCAAATTTATCTTGCTGTAGAGTGTTTTCCTGGACTAACTGTCACTGCTTGGTTATAAACCTCCTATAAATCACAACTCACAAAAAGAAAACTATTAAAAAACTGAGGCCGTGGCATCACTGTTTTACTCAAGTTTGGCTTCCTGGAATGAATACAGATTTCAGTGAGGGACCATTTTCTCATTAGGTGAGACCATAAAAATAAATCATTTCTTCTAACCTTGGCCTTGTGGGCTGGAATATCTGCTTTGTAAAAGAAACATAGTCTTGTGTCCAGAAGTACTGAAGGAGCTCTAGAAGCTTGGGTATGGGAAACTGGATTATTTTCAATTAGTTGCTCAATTATTTAGAACCTGGGGGTGTCATCTCAGTTGTGCCCTCTGTAAAATGAATGTCAAGCTCTTTGGGATGTTGAAATGGAATTTCTAATAGAGGATGATGCTATTCTCTCCAGAAGACTCTCCCATAACAATAGATAATGATCTTTATCAAGAAGTCTTTCTTTTAGCTTTATTTTCCTGCCTGGGGTCTAAGTGGTAAATCCAGAATATTTACTTGGGATCTTACAGCAATGATACACCATAAAAAGATACAAGATGCTCATGTACAAAAACCTCACTGAGTCCTTTATTAATGTTTGGAGATGTATGGAGTACATACAATTAACAGCATCACACCAGCTACAGGAAGTACTGTTTTTGAGGATGTACTTCAAAACAAGGATCCCAGAGCACCAATGGTGTTGCCTGCCCTGAACCACCACAAAAAACCCAACTTGGACACACACAGGACAAACAATACCACAAAATCACTTTGAAATGGTTCTTTTAAAAAATAACAAGAGCTAGAAGTTCAAAACCACTTAAAATATGAAATGTGGCAGCTCCCCCAGTGGCATGGCACTGGCTGGAAAAGGCTAGTTTGGACGTGGAAGGTCAGAAACAAGAACTGACTGGGAGGACTGGAAGAGGTTTCGTGTTCATTGTGGAGACAGATATACCAGATGGTCCAAGTGGATATTTTCAGTCCAGGATCTGTACATTTCCTGTAGGTATCCACTGGGTAAATAGAGTTGTAAAATGGAAGGCTGTGAAATGCCTGCCATCCAGCTGTGTCACTAATTCCGATTAGTAAGCACTGACACATCAGAGGGCTATAAACAAATATGATCACAAAGCAAGTTTAAAAGGGACAAGGCTGAAATTAAGTTTTTGGTTCATTATTCCAGGTCGACAATGATCCTTTTTAGTCACTGGGCACTGTGGGTCCCTTCGGCTGTCTTCTGTGTACTCTGGATATCTTCCTTTATTTTAATTTTCCACTTTGGAAAAAAAAAAAAACCAAAACAAAAAATCAAAACCCCCGATACCATTCTCCACAGAGTCCTGATTCCCCTTAGTCTAGATTTTTTCCTTCCTCTTTAATTTCGACACTTTCTTGACAGTTCCGTTCTTGTTTAGAAGTTTCAGGACTCGTTCCTTGTGATCTAAAACCTTGAGCATGGAGTCTCTGGCTTCACTAATTTGATCCATCACAAGTTTACATCTCTGCATATTTCCCTGTAACAGAAGACAGCACCATTCAGTTATCATGAAAGACTTTTTAAATAATTTTTTTAAAAAATCATATTTCTGATCATACTTTTCAGCAAAGTAGACTGTTAATATATATAAAAAAAAATCTTAGCTTGTTGGTAATATGATTTAAGATTGACAATGGATTTTTTTCCCCTAAAATTACCAAGGGGATAGGTAAGCCTTCCTGGTAAAGAACTCAATAAGCTGATGTATATGCTTGAAAGATAAGGCCAGGGCTCATACCTGTATCAGTTCATTTATTCGGTGTAGATCATCATCGGTTGCTGCCTTTTTCTTAGGGATAATACCTTCCTGTAAAGTGGTGAGTCGTTCATATACATCATGCTCCAGATTTGTCTGAAATAGATAAGAATAAGCACAGCTAACTATAACCTACTATGATCCTTTAGTCTTTATCTTAAGCAAGAAAGGCAGCATGGTATAGTGGAGAAAGAGAGCTAGCCTCAGAGTCAAAAAAGTCCTGTGTTCAAATTTTGCTACTAATGTATACTGACGGTGTGACCCTAGGCAAGTCACTTCATTTCTTGGTGTTTCAGGCAACTCCCCACACCCAAAAACCAAACCAAACCAAACCAAAACAATCTGAGCAAAAACAACTGTGCCACAATTATAGTCAGTCCCTTTGACCAGCTTTGCAAGTAAGTCTAAGAACTATTCAGGCAATCATTTTTTCTACTAGTCTGCCATCCCTTCCAGGATGTGAATAAATTATCAGACTAACATAATTTTTTGCTGTTTGTAAGGATATCTTTCACACACTGGCCCAAATTCCTATTTCTTCTTGCTATAAGGCAAACTCTTCCCTAGAAAACTGCTTTACTGGTAATGACTTTGCTCTTTTAGAATGCTTCTAAATAGATTGGTCTAAACAGATCTCTCCAGATAACCACTGCTCTAAGACAGAAAAACTTAATCTAACTGTTCCAAATATTTTGGACCTTTCTATCAAACAGAAGTTATTTTCTGATCCTGGGATAAATATAATGCATTATATCATTCTGACAATAAGCTACCTCAAAATGCTAAAATTTCAAAAGTTCTTCAGAGCAATATGTTTTCCTGGCTTGTCAAAGGGCTGCAATGTCTAATTTCCTTTCTCCATGGCTCAGTCAAGTTACTGAAACTTTTCACTTACCAACTGTAGCAACTGGGCAGCACAGAGATGAACTTTCCAACCCTGGGCTCGGCAAGATACTCCTTTCTGATTGGCTATTTCTTGCAGCATGGCTTTCTTCTCCTCTGGAACCATATGAATATAAACTTGAGTCTATTCATTTCAATAATAAAAGCTAAAATCACCAATGTCTCTTCAAAGCAGTTCCTCTCCTCTCATTTTATTCAAGTACCCATAAAAATGGAACAAACCTCTTTCCTCACTTTAGGAGCTGAGAGTGCTTTACAAATGTTAAAAAAAATTTTTAACCTGTTTATACTCAAAGATCTTTTAATACCGGTACATTTCTAGTTATTTTTTTATTAAGAATGTGAACAAACATCAACAAGAATGTTTCCATATTGAAAGCACAGAAAAAGAGATCAAATATGAAACTATGAATCTTTGTTACAAATAGCTTTTAAAAGAAGTACATATTAAATTTAACAAGGTATTACCAACATTGGCCTGCCAGTGTGTATTTTTAAAATGTAATATAGAAATCCTTTTTTTTCTTTTCATTACTATCATCAAACTCTCCCCTATTTTCTTCCTCTCTCTCCAGCCAATGAAAAGCCCTCCGTTGGAGTCAAGCTAAACAAATCCACACCCTGGTCTGTCTGAATATAAAAATGCCTCATTTTGTACCTCTAGTCTTTCACATCACCTCTCAGCTACAAGGTAAAAAGCTGAATCATCATCAGTTTTTGGAAATCAACATATTTAAGTCTTTCAGAGTTGTCTTCCTTTACAACATTAAAGTCACTGTATAAATTGTTCTCCTGGTTCTACTCCTTTTACTCAGTGTCGGTTCATAAAGTCTTTTCAGGTTGCTGTAAATCTGTCCCTTTGATCATTTTTTAATAGCACAACAGCATGCCATTCCATTCCCCTGCACTCGAGGTGTCAAACTCCTATAGGCAAGTGGCCTGAACCAGATGAAAATGTGATGGGGAAATGGTTAACAAAATAAATAAAAATGCAATCCAACATAATGTTAATCTGTGGTTTTCTAAATCAATATGCTACTGGCAAGAATCCCTTTCTATTTCAGTTTGACACCACTGCTCTATGGTAATTTTTTCTGCCCTTCCCTAGTCAATAGGTATCATATTTTATCCAGTTTTGTGCCATAACAAAAAGTACTGCTCTAATTTTTTTTCTTTAACATCTGTCTTTGATCTCTTTAGGGTATGTGTCAGTTAGTGCTACTTCTGGGTCAAAGAGGTTAGTGAGTTTTTGGGTATACCCAAATTTCATACTGCTTTCCAGAACTGTTGGACTAATTTGTAGCTCCAAGTGCCCCTTCAAATAAGTGTAATTTTACTTAACTGAGATATTTACAAAGTGCTTAGCACAGCACCTGGAAAACAGTAGGCACTATATAAATGCTTATTCTGTCCCTTCCCCCTTTTGTTATCTTTGGGTGTGTAGTAGGATCTCAGAGTTGCTTTAATTTGCATTTCTCTTGTTGAGTAAATGAAAAGGTATTTATTAAGTTATTACTACATGGAAAATGCTTTGCTAAGCTCTGGGAGTACAAACAGAAAAGAATCTGCTCCCTAAGGGGTTGGCTTTCTAATGGGAGGGATAATATCTATCTATATCTATATATCCATATCTATATATCTATATCTATATATCCATATCTATCTATCTATATACATATAGATATATATATACACACACGAAGTTTCAGCTGCAAATAAAAGGCCTCATGATCATTATTAGTGATCTGAAGCACTTCAACATATGATTGTAATATAATAATATGGTTGATAATGCCCTGTTCATACCCTTTGACTATTTACCTAATGGGCAGTGGCTCTTGTTCTTATATATTTATCAATTCCTCATGTATCTTAGTTATGAAATCTTTATCAGAAAAATCTGTTACAAAAAATATTTTCCTTAGTTAAATGTTTCACTTCCAGTTCTAAGTAAATTGCTTTTGTTTGTACAAAAACTTGTCTTATATAACCAAAAGTGTCCATTTTATTTCCCATGATCCTCTTTATCCCTTATCTGGTCAGAAATTCTCCCTGATTCATAGTTGTGGAAGTATCTCCTTCCTCTTTCCTCTGATAGGTTTATGATATAGCTTTTATATCCAAGTCAGCTATCCAATTTTGGCTTGAGGTACATGCTGTGAAATGTTAGTCTGGGTCTAATTTCTCCCAGACTGCTTTCCAATCTTCCCAGGGGTTTTGTTTGTTTTTAAATTTAATAGCAAATCTTTACTGCAGCTGTTGTTGTCATGGGGTTCACTGACCATTATGCTACTATGTTTGATTGTGTCTGGTTCTCATGCACCTACTCTGGTCTATGGATCCACCACCTTCAGCATGCTCTTTATCCTTCAAGTTAAGTTTGGTCTTCCCTGATCCCCTCCCCCATTACTGCTGTCTGCTTCTCAGGGTACATCTTGTACACCCCCAGCAGAATGTAGGCTCCTTAAGGGCAAGGAATATTTAGCTGTTTTCTTTGCTGTCTCCTTCATCAAGTCCCTTATGTAGTAGACACTTAATAAATGTTTGTAGAACTGAATATAAGTTCATTCCTAAAATATCTAGGCTATGTAAAATAAATATGATGACATTTTGTTTTAAAGACTGAGAAACATAAGCAAATAAATTTAAGCTATATGACTATCCAGATCAAAGCTTTAAGGTTCCTGACATCTCAAGTCACAGTCACACTGCCCTTTTTTGAGAAGGAGTCCCAACCAGTAAATCGGGATACATTAGTAAATCTATTAAAAGGGGCAGGTAGGCGGCATAGTGGATTGAGTGCCAGGCCTGGGGGCAGGAAGAACTGGGTTCAAATCTGCCTCAAATACCTTACTAGCTTCTGGGCAAGTCACTTAACCTCATTTACCTCAGTTTCCTTATCTGTAAAATGAACTGGAGAAGGAAATGGCAAACCATTCCATTTCTTTGCCAAGAAAACCCCAAATGGGATCATAGAGAGTCAAACATGACTGAAATGACTGAACAATAAGTAAATCAGAACTCTACAATGAAAGATTTCGAGTCAGTGCTGATGCCATTAGCTGCCCATGGATTCTGAACAGGAAAGAAGGCCCAGCTCATCCTGGCAGCTGCTATTTTCCTGGCTCCCCTCAAGGACTTTACTAACAGTACCCCTTCTTACCCAACATTATATCTGAATGATCTACGGATTAGTACAGCCTAAAGGAGAAATTACTTGAAAGAGGAACTTTTATGCATTCTTGGTGTTCAATAAATTTGATGAGATTTCTGTTGATGGGTGTTTTTTATACACACAAAAACACACATACACGGATATAGAGAGAGATATATATGTATTTTTTCCCAAGTACTTTAAACCATTATTATTACATTAGATCCACACTATAATACTGTCTTCAAGGCCCAGGATATGGGATCATGTTATATATACCAACTTATTATAGGGACCCAAGATATAAACCTGTCAAACTAAACTATAAACTACAGTAGCTAGGAACAACTGCAGCCTACTTAAATGCTTGAAATACTAAATCAGAGAACTGTAGGCAAAAACGGCTGACGCCTATCAAAATGGCAAAGATGATTTAAAAACAAGAGGGGGCAGACACTAGACCTGCAGTTTCATCAATGCAGAGAGCTTCCAGTGAAGACCTCCACCTAATGTACCACAATGGCTACCAGAATGTCAAAGAAAACCCTGGAAGACTTCGGTGACAACCAGTGATCTCTGAGGACTGTGGGTGAAGTACATCTTCTCCCTTTCCTGTTGGACCAGAGAGGTAGTCAACTATTGATGTGTAATGAGGTTCATTACCAGGTAAGGCCAGTGGGTTGACTTATTTTGCTTCATTGTACTTCTTTGTTACAAAAGAGAGTTGTGGGGAGGGGGAAGAGGACTCACTGATAAATGACAGCAATTTTTTTTGAAACAGCATCAATAAAACATTTTCCAAAAAGTAACTCATGGCTTACATACAAAAAGCCAGAAGTTTTGTTTTCCACAAGACCTTTCTGCTACTTCCAATGTGGTTATGCTTTGGTGCCCATTAGGAAACACCTGTATTTGAAAGGGTCCAAAAGTTTACTTTCTTTAAAGGGCTTTCTTACCTTTGACTCTGACATCGCTGTACCTCTGGAAGTGATGATAAGCAGCTTTCCAGGGGTTCCGGTAATGTCGGAGCAGAGTAATGGGAGGTCTTGGGCGTACAGGGACATACCTCACACCTTCTTCATCTATGAAAAGGGAAAGAAAGATAAAATAGGCAACGAGTCATACATCTGATTTTCCCTACCCAATTTAACCTATGTCCAGCTTCATAATTTAAAATCTCAAGTGCACATGACTGACTTGAGAAAAGCAGAAAAGAAAAATGATGCTTCGATGGAAATCTACTTCCAAAAGCCACCATTACCTATATATTCCTTGGGAGGAGACTTGCGTTTCTCAGCCTTTACTAGCAAACTCTTAGGAGTGGACTTTTCATCATCAGTACTATTTGTCTCCATCATATCACCTTCCTCTGTTGAAATCACGTGCTGTTGCTTTCGTGGTTTTTTCCTTGGAGAGGCACCAGGGGGCAAGTCACTTGGAGGCATTGACAGGTTGTTGGCCAGCAGCGCAAGAGATGGAGACACAGTGTTGGTTGTTAATGGAGGAACTGCTGAGAGAAGAGAGAAAACACAAAGTCTATGAAAAAACAATTGCAATAAGAGACTGCATTTGATTTCTGACACGGTAAATAGGACTTTTCTCTAATAATGTTACCTAAGTAAGAAGGGTCCCTTAAGTTCATATGGTGACTAACATAAAGTTGGTGATAAAACACTTAGTCCATAAAACCTCACTGCCTTATTCCTGTCTTATTAGACAGTATCTCTGTCAGTTAAAAACTGGAAACCTACAGTACAAAGAGGTTAAATGATTTGCCTAATGCCACAGAGTAAGTCAGTAGTGAAGCTAAGAAAAACTGAAGTCATGACTTCCAGCTACCTCGGGTCACCCATGTTGCCTTTCAAAAGAAACTATTCTGCAACTTGCTAGAAAATGTCAGTGGTGAAAAAGAGAGGAAACAATGCAGTCGGAAGGAGAATGGGAAAACAAAATATTTTAGTAAGCACAGAGAGAAATTGATCAAGAATCCTTTCTTCAGTAACATGCTTTATGAAAATTCTTAACTAGCCTCTTCAAATTAAATGGGGCAAGAATCTTAAATCTCTCAGCTGTCAGCACATTTCCTTGATCGATACTGAAGAAAAATGCATTATATAAGCTATTGGTAGCAGTGCCTTGTAGAAAGCAGAAAAATAAAAGTGTAAAAAAATATTGTTTGCACTGACTTTCCGTACTAATGAAAGAAGACTGCTCTCACCTGTGACTCAAGGTCTCCCAGTTTTAGTCTTCAAAAAGAAATTTACCTGCTTACATTTACTAAAAACCAGAGTCTTACAATACAGTGGGTGCAAAAGCTCTAACAGGAATGAACTCTGAAAAGAGGAGCTCTTTGTAGGAATTATTTTAAATGGGCCACCACAGTTCCAGCTTTAGCAATATGGTGATAGGCAAAAAGACATTCGTAAAGGAAAAAGAAACTCATGAGAGAAAATATTTCTTTGCATGAACTTACCAGAAACAGGACGCATTATGTCCATAGGTTCCACTTCTTCTTTAATTTTTATCTCTGGCACCGCTGGCCCCATTACAGTGGAAAGGCTGCCACCCACCGCTGATGATGCAGGAGGAGCAGCTGCAATAGTGGTAATGGGTGGTGTGACAGGAACTGCTCCCGGAATTGTTGACAGGGCTACTGATGGTTGTGAGGGGGGACTGGTTGCTGCAATGATAGTTGGGATGGCAGGTGGTGGCTGTTGAGAGGTGGGCTGCACAGCAATGGTGGGCTGATCACTACTCTGATTGGACACAGCCTCCACAGACACAGTGACTGGTGTGGCCATAGATACATGGATTTCTGGCTTAGGTTTGGCACTAAAACATAAAAACAAAACATT